GCTGCTGCTGCTGCTGCTGTGCCCTCAGCGCTGCGGGGAGAGCGGACTCGGTCCCGCAGCGTCACACCAAGCTGCACAGGCCGCTGCCGCGGCTGAGCGCCTCTGTTCTCTGCGTTCTTTCATTGTTGGTGTGTATGCAGGCAAACCCTATCGCGTATCAGCCTTCTGTCCTTAATCTCCATGCCACGGTGTTAGAGTGTTTTCCCTTCTGGCTTTTAAATGTAGTGCTTCAGAACGCCAGGAAAGGTTTAGGCTGCGCACTAGGAGGGATTCAATCGCAGAAGGAGTGAAGAGACCTTGGCACGGGCTACCTTCCATGGAGGTGTGTAAGGAAAGCCTGGCCGAGGCACTCGGTGCAAGGTCTGGTTGACAAGGTGGTGTTTGGCCGTAGGGTGGACTCGACGATCCCAGAAGTCTTTCCTGACCTAATTGATTCTGTGATTCTGTAATTTGCTATGTTCTAAATTCCTTGTCCATCACATCACAGAAACAAGCAAGCAGCTTGAAAGAGAGAGTTTGACTAAGCTATTCACTAAGAGTTTAGGCTGTTGCATGAAAATTAGAAATGCTACAGGATTTTATTATCCCAAAGTGTATTCATTTCACTTAACTCTAGATTCTGTTGATGATTTCAGCAAAGGCAAAGTTCAGCACTTACTAGCCTGAACAAGTTTATCTGCAGCACTGGTGGCTTCTCTCCCAGCAATCACCTTGTAACAATACTGCCGGTTTGGTGGAGGAGCTGGGATGTTTCCCCTTGCTCTCTGAAAAGTTGATTCACAAGGCAATGACTTGCACAGCTGGGTTATACTGTATCCTAGATTTAAAGTCAGGGAAACAACAAAACACTGGCGTGGGAATTCATACATTATTGAGTTCCAACCCAGCATAAACGTGTTCTGGCATCCAGCCACAGGTGAGGCAAGGTGGGAAATGAACCCATCTACCAGGTGAAAGGTCTAATCAAACGGTCATGTTTTAGTTTTTTGTGACAGGAGGACTGACTGNGCTGCTGCTGCTGCTGCTGTGCCCTCAGCGCTGCGGGGAGAGCGGACTCGGTCCCGCAGCGTCACACCAAGCTGCACAGGCCGCTGCCGCGGCTGAGCGCCTCTGTTCTCTGCGTTCTTTCATTGTTGGTGTGTATGCAGGCAAACCCTATCGCGTATCAGCCTTCTGTCCTTAATCTCCATGCCACGGTGTTAGAGTGTTTTCCCTTCTGGCTTTTAAATGTAGTGCTTCAGAACGCCAGGAAAGGTTTAGGCTGCGCACTAGGAGGGATTCAATCGCAGAAGGAGTGAAGAGACCTTGGCACGGGCTACCTTCCATGGAGGTGTGTAAGGAAAGCCTGGCCGAGGCACTCGGTGCAAGGTCTGGTTGACAAGGTGGTGTTTGGCCGTAGGGTGGACTCGACGATCCCAGAAGTCTTTCCTGACCTAATTGATTCTGTGATTCTGTAATTTGCTATGTTCTAAATTCCTTGTCCATCACATCACAGAAACAAGCAAGCAGCTTGAAAGAGAGAGTTTGACTAAGCTATTCACTAAGAGTTTAGGCTGTTGCATGAAAATTAGAAATGCTACAGGATTTTATTATCCCAAAGTGTATTCATTTCACTTAACTCTAGATTCTGTTGATGATTTCAGCAAAGGCAAAGTTCAGCACTTACTAGCCTGAACAAGTTTATCTGCAGCACTGGTGGCTTCTCTCCCAGCAATCACCTTGTAACAATACTGCCGGTTTGGTGGAGGAGCTGGGATGTTTCCCCTTGCTCTCTGAAAAGTTGATTCACAAGGCAATGACTTGCACAGCTGGGTTATACTGTATCCTAGATTTAAAGTCAGGGAAACAACAAAACACTGGCGTGGGAATTCATACATTATTGAGTTCCAACCCAGCATAAACGTGTTCTGGCATCCAGCCACAGGTGAGGCAAGGTGGGAAATGAACCCATCTACCAGGTGAAAGGTCTAATCAAACGGTCATGTTTTAGTTTTTTGTGACAGGAGGACTGACTGCCAGTGATGACTGTGAAATTATGAAAACTCTGGTTTAATAAATCAGTAAAAAAATCAGAAATCTAGTTGTAACTTAGCTGGGATTTTCAGCAAGCCATGAATTTTGGAATAATATTGCTCTAAGAGAGTACAAGATAAAGTCATAAAGTGGATAGGGGTCTGTCCTATCAAAAGTTTGCAATGACCCATGATCATTCACTCATGGCTCATACTCAAACCCTCTATTTTTTGCCTAACCTAGAATTTGACTGAACTATGAAGTCTGGATTACATTGGGGAATAACAAGATACTCAGTGGCACCTAGATTATCCAAGAAATAATGTGATTTGGAAACTCCTATGGACAAGTAGCTTCAGGTATCCCTGAAGCAGGAAGCAGCCTGAACTTGTTTTGTAGACTTTCCCTACATATCTGCTGTAGAGAAAAGATGCAGGAGTCCTTTCCACCTCTTCTTTCTCTTCCTTCTGTGTCAAGCTACTAGTTAGGAATTGCCCATGAAACGAAGAATCTGTGCTTCCCACCCACTGCACCGTGAAACAAGGAAAACCAAGGAATCCTGAAGCAGTGGCTTACTGATGTACAGCCTGACCAGAATCAGTCTTGGATTTGAGGCCTCCTCTGTGTTTCCCTCCTGTGGAGCTGAGTACTCCTGTATCACCAGTTAGCCAAACTTAATCTTCTGTTGCCACCAAAATCTGTAGTGTCAAATTCTCCTCCTTTTATTATAAATCTCAAATGTTTTGATGGTTCTTTTAAATTTGTGGCTTCTGGAGTTCTGTCATTAAATAAGGAGCTTGGCTCTTATTTCTCCTATTTTACTTGTAAGATTGCTGTCAAATCATCATTTCAAAAATAAAAACTCTAAATCCATTGGTTTAAGTCCAACACCCCAGGTTTTGTAAGCCTGCAATTTCCCTAGTTTGTCCAGTCTTTTTAGGAGATGAATGCATGAATCAGTCCTCAATGTAATTCCCCAAACCCTTTAACTCTCTGCTAGTAGGATCTCCGAGGGCATAGATATCTGCCATGTTGTGTTTCCCTCATCAAGGTAAGCCCATCCTCTGTTGCCTGAAGGACCTGAACTGTGAAGCATTCTCCAAACAAGCCTGCTAGACCTTGCAGGAACAAATTCCCAGAGGGCAAAGCAACAAGGCTTACCTTCAGATTTCCACTGTGTCCAAGCTGGATTTGACCTGGTATGAATGCCGAGTGTCACAACCAACAGGCTGTTTGCTGGTTGTTTGGGGATCAAACTCCTCCAAAGTATAATCAGGTATTTTCACTCATGGTGGGGCAGATTTGACAAGTAGACAATTCGGTCTGCAACAGCAAATAGCCTACCAAGGAGAATGTCCTGGCAGGTGGTGGATGGGTATGACATACCATATCCCAGATGTATGTTCCTAACAGCCAGACTATAGAGTAAGCAAATAGCAAGAACTTATTATCCTGCAGGTAGCTGTTATAAAACACTGGTTTAGTGCCAATCTTGTGGCTGGGATTTCTTAGCAGAGGCACGGGATTAAATAATACTTTCTTAAGGTTTCTTCCTGGCCTTCTTATGTAGCTTCTAGTCTGTAGGCTTTGTATATCCCACACTTTATTGCCTTCTGGAAGCATGTGAGAAACTCACATTTCTGCACCAAGAAAAGATATCTTCAATTTCTACATCACAGCATGTAGAAATGTGGTGATGCAGTTTATAATACTCAAGTCTTTTGGGGGTACCTTGCCCCATGGTATAGTTTTAATTCTTTAGGTATAATAGCATAAGGATACAGCTGTCCAGAACAGATTTTCCAATGTGGAAAATTTGCAGGAGGGTGTCAAAGCTCCAAGTATGATCAGAGTTTGACAGTCACCAAGCCTGTAATTCACATGGACACAGGACACAAGGATCAAGGATTAGATTTTGATCAAATTAGGGAAGGCACTCCCTACATTCCCAAAATAGTATAAGATATCTGCTTTCTTGGAGCTGCAGCCCCTTCACAGCTATATGTTGAAGAGGTTGTTTTCCAAGACCAGCAGCCTGACAGTATTGGGTGCTTCAGCAGAGAGATCTACATGCCTGTTGCATGGAAATTAAAGGGAAAAAATTCCTATAGATTTCAGTGGTTTGGGATATGACTGTCTCTATTAAAACCTTTACTTAAATATACCCTTAACATGTTAGAAATAATTGAACAAGACAATCCTGAGTAATTCATCAGTGCTTCTATTATTCTTTTCAGAGTTGCACATCAGCTATTTACACAATATGATTTGTTTTAATTTTTTTATCCAGCATGTTTTATGCATTAGTATCAGAAAAGCTTGTCTTTCTCTTGGCAAATGTTGCTGCAAGTTGTCTAGCAGGGAGCTGGATTATGTAGATTTATTTATTCAGAGTGTAATTTGCATAAATGAAAAATGGAAATAAATCCTCTTTTCAGAATTAAAGCCTTTTTTTTTCCTTCAAGGTGAAATAAAAAGTGTGTGTAGTTTACTCATTAAGATTTCCAGATTTTTTTAGGTGGTCTATTAGTCATTTCAATGCCTAGGCCCATTTTCTTTGATTTGCTTTAATGTCTGAAAGCATATTTTGAGGATAAGATGAGGAAGAGACAATAGAACAGATTGGAAATTTATTTGCTTATAAGCAGTCAAAGGTGTCCTGTTGAAAAAAATCTCAAAGCTATATTAAGCATTTTAGATATATTATGTAAAGTGTTGTTTTGGAGGCCTGCATGGTTCCAGGCTACCATACAGTGCCTATTTAGAAAAGCCCTGTGCTGCAAAGCAAATTGGCATTGTATGTATTTGATCCAGCTGTGGATCATTATCATGTGAAATCTGGGCAGAGACCTACATGCGATGGCCCACCAGCCCAGACATGTCTGTCTCAGATCAGTGGTGCCTGCAAAGCTTATCTGGGTGGGAGAGGAACTGTCTTATGGTCCAGGCTGTTAGATATCCACAAATGCACCTAATTCCTGGTAACAAACAAATAAACAAACAAACAAAACAAAAACATTAACAACCCCCCTCCCCCCCCCCCCCCCCCAAAAAAAAAAAAAAAACCCACCCCAGGAACGCTTATTAGCATTGTTACCATTCAAAATGTGTGCACTGCTGTGCAATGCAGAATATCTGTCCTGTAGAGAACTGGGCATTCCAAGCACTGATTAATGCATCCCAGGAATCCCTTCAGAGAGAGTCTTCTGTGCCTCTGGATAGTGCTGCATTTTATGCTGTAGGTTTTTTGGATTAAATTGAAGGAAAAAAACATATCTTACATTCAGTGCATCTGGAAGTGAGGAACAGATTGTCCAGCTTCTTTCAATAGCTCTCCACAACTCTGGACCCATGGCATTATTCCTGAGGTCAGTGCCTTTGGTTTGCCACTATTTATTTATTCATGTCTGCAGAGGTCCTCTTTTTCTCTCCATATGCTCCATCATTCACCAGCACCTCCTGGTAGCCCACCCTGCTCCCACAGCCCATCCGTTCTCAGAGCTGACCCTGACTGGGGTCAGGATGCGATTAGGTGGCTGCAGATCATAAGGAATATTAATCACAAGGAACACTTAGATGTTGCTTTACAGACTTCCTTATGTGAAATAATGCTGTGGCAAGCTATCGGGTTACCAGTGGCTGAAATAGAAACAGTTCTCTCTTTGCCCTTGACAGTCAAAAGAGGGTTTGATTTATTTTCTCATTTTCACTCGGTCTAAAGGCAGCTGGGCAGTATTGCTGCAAAGCTCTAGCTGTGTGTCATTGTAATAGGGGCAATATGTTTGTTCACTTCTGCTCTCTTCCTCTGTCTAATTGTTCTATTGTCTTTCTGTTTTCTCTCCACATTGGGGCTGACAAAATGTCTCCTTGGGTTTTGCCCTCTAGCCAAAACTTAACGGGCTCCTAATCAAGAACTAACACCACCAGCAGGCTATTTCCTGCCTTTGTTTGCCATTTCTGGTATCATCTTTCTTCTCTTCTCATTACAAATTTTCACCAGTATTTTCCTTTGACTCTTCCTCTGTATAGGGCACAGAAAGCATCCTAAATATTGTTTCCCTTTCATTGCCTGGTCACTTGATTTCTGGCCTCTCAGCTCTACAATCTGGAAGAGTACCAGATATATTCAGAACCAGATTTTACAAAGCCAAGTAGCCCTGAGATAACTGTATGTTCCATGTAGTTGTATCACCAGAATGCTTATTGCAGAACCTTGATGCAAATTGTAAGGATATTTTGAATGTAAAAGGGGTAACTACAATGTAAATAATCACTAGGTACCTTTCACCATAACTTGAATGTCCATGCAAGTATCAA